TTTCAGGTTTGAACTTGTTCAGCACTCATCCATTTTCCTGTTTGCTTTGCACACAGGTATTATCTTTCGTGTGATTAAGTCGGTGACATGAGCTTATAACGACCAGTGTGTCTTTTTTTACCGAAATTTCTTGAATAGACCGCATAAACGCCAACGAAACTATGATTTATCCGACAGTTCACCTCAGTAATAAATAAAGAAGCAGTCTTGATACCAGAAACTCATCGTTAGTAAATATGGCAGTTCTGATGATTTTGAACCTTTCATGCACGTATTTCAACGTCTAATAATGTCCGTAAACGTCATCCATTATTCCCACCAAGACGACTTCCTTAGCAGACTATACCTTTTCAACTTCAAGTGAATCCGTTGGATCCTTTGAAGTCTGAAAAAAATCCTTGTGTTAATGTGCGCTACCTATGATACCTGGATTAAACTCGCAAGGATGAGTTGTACTATAGCGTATGTACGTACAAAATGGAAAACGGTCTGACCAGCTTCCCTATGATCAAGTGGGTAGTATACTTGTATTCTGCCTCTGTGCTCCTGGGTTCAATCCTCAGTTGGGTGGGTGGATCTACATTGCTGATGAGATTTGATTATCCTGAAGAAGGACAACACTGTCCATAATTCGCATTAGCCGTATTAATAAAAGCTATAGACGTTAACTTCATCTATCATCTTGTTAACCGCCTTTTGGCAAAGTAGCATCCATGCGAAGCTATGAATAATACATAAGCATCTATCCTTAATTCCGTTATTAATTTATGTAAGCTCCGTGGATCTCCTTTAACGTAAATCTTATCTCGGTCTGATTACTCGCTTGATTATTCACAATCCCAGTTGAGTTGAGCAAAACGTAAGCACCTTATCGTACGGGATACGTATATGAATATCAATGCGATTCTGTAAGAAATAAATAACTAACATTTAGTACACGTAAATAGGCCATTGGCATACATCGATAGTGAAAGGGGTAAATACTCACATCAAGATTTCCCGGGTCCGCGTAAATAAACAACGTAATATAATCCACAGAGGTCGTACGTAATAGTCCGGTGCGCAATCGATTGTGTGAGACCCTAATCACCCAGACTAACGGGCTAATGTCACAAGGTCAAGCACATTGATTGGCTGGGATCATGAATGCGCGAATGGGTCAGAGTGGTGAGGTGACGGGCGCGATAAGTACGTGTATGGTCATGTGACTGGTTGTATTTTTCTGTGTGCGTGCGTATGTGTTGTGTGTCACATGACTGAATCAACGAATGTGAACACGTGTGTAGGATGGGCAGATGTGTGTGTGGGTGTGATAGAACTCCATCGGGAAGCGTATCGGCCGCTGACCAAAGGTTCGCCAGGGCCACAACGTAAATCTTTGAGTTTACAAATTCATTTAGCCAACAACCTGATGGAATGGAGGATGCTTGGGTGCATAAATGACATATTGTATATTCATAAACTCCTCCGAACATTTTCTTCTCTCTTCGCACCTTTTTAGCGCAGTTTTCCTATCAGTTACAGCTTCGTTACTGCTGATTAAAGAGCTGGAATAGAATTGCCTAATCTCTTTTTTGAATGTTAGCTTCAACCCGCGTTTATTTTTCATCGCTGGTTGCTTCTAACCGCCATGTTTCTGTTCTCCTGAACAACTTTCTTGGACTCCAAGTATACTTTTGTGTACATCTACCCCAGTCTATATGATTTCATTATTTTCTCTCTGACTTCTAATCTTCTTTCTGCTATTTTTATCCAAATGGATATCCAAAAGAGAGCAACGAAAACCGGCGCGTGAAAATGAGTGTTATTGGTAGTAAAAACTGAAATTGATACTGTAACGTCTGCTTGCTGAGATTGTGTAGATTTTTCACTCAATGTACTGTATTCAGCCAGTTGAATTATCACCGAGAATGAGCTTGTTTCCTAATCTGTGTTCTAATGATATACAAATGCCTTTATTAAGAATGATACACGCTGTTGAAATACACTGGAGTCAGTCTGAGTTGCGCCGATAAACATTGTGTCCCTGACATAAATCTGAGTTGAGAGATGAAAACAGAATTACACCATGAAACCAACTGTTTCTCACGTGGGAGGAAGTCGTAGATCAATATTAAGACAACCGTGGGTCGAATACTATGCTTAACTCTACTGAATATTCCTTGAAGTACCCGATATGAAGCTATCATTCTTTGTAGAATCATGGATAACTGTGAGTTATTTTTACCACCACACATCCCACTCATTGAACTGTAAGGATCGTAAGGATGGATTCGGATTGCGGATGTTAAATAATGTAACAAGGATGATAAAATATGCGACGAAGCTAAGGAACAAAGGGAGAAGTTGGAGATGACAGGTTGTTGGTATTGGATTTTTGGGTAGAACGCAAAAGTCAATCCAGGAGTTACAAAGAAAAATGTAATTTCATTTAGCTAGTGAATGAGTGCAAATTTAATCTTGTTATTCAGATGCGATACTGGGCAGTGTTGACCAAGAGGTTAGGTCACCAACTTGTGATCTGGTAGTCCCGGGTTTGAACCGCTCCACCGCCGCCCGTCTTCCCTATTTCTGTATTTTCCAGGCAGCCTTTGTATGGTCGCGGCCTCACTTCTTGAATGTTGACTGTATATTTGTACATTCAATAAATAAAACAGGAAGAAAAAATACATTTATTCAGCATTTTATTATTCTTCTTTGTATCCTTGAGTCATTGTTATGTATCTTATCAAGTTGGCCTTTCAGTGCCAGAAATATGTAGGCAACTGCATTTAGGTGGAGGGACTTGGTGTTAATCAAAGGGAACTGTGCCTCAATGAAATTTATTCGCTAGGCTACTGAGGGATTAGACTGAACCCACTCATGCAATGAATCATGCAGACATTCACGCGTGAGTACGGTGCCCGATTTATCGATCCACCTTGACGTGATTCGCTCCCTTCCTCGGCCGACCGCGGACAATTATCATCGGGTTCGTTCATTCCCGTCTAAAGTTCATACAGTAGTCAAGGCCAACGTATCCAGTTGTAAAGGGGGAAGAGGACTAATCAAATCCCTCTTCATCGAAACTTTTATCCCCGCTCGGTAACTCACTCAAAAAGTACTTTCGTTTGTCAATGGGGAAATCAGTTCACTCAGACGGGACGGGCTTACGATAGTCCCGGTCCAATCAGTGACTTGTGACGGCAGAACCAACCACTTTGTTGGGTTTCTGGTAGAATGCGATTGGTTGGATTCACTTATAGTTACAACGAATTCACTTGAAAGTTATGGATTCTTCACTAAAGGTAATGGAGTATAAAACATAAAGATGAAGGAATCATGGTGGTAAAAATTAAATTAATTCAGGAAGGAGGAAGAAATTTGTTTTAGCAAATTGATAGTTCGTTCACTACCATGTTTAAACAGGACCCGTTAGTCAAAATGAGCTGTTTTGCTAATTTTGCGAATAGTCCCCTGAAATTATAAAAACCTATTTTTCAACATTATTCTACCCCGTTTCACGCATATCCTATAAAACTAATTACGTGCCATAATTTTCGTGAAAAACCTCTGTTTCATTCAGAACGCTTGATCTAGGTGCTGGTTTGATACGTGACAGTATTGGACGTAATGCTCCAACAAATCGGTTTTGCACGTGTACTGGTGAAAGATAGTTGAACAAAGATTAATCTTATCATACTCAATAGGATAAAGTGTATTTACAATGGATAACAACAGCTCATTTTTAAATCCTTACGAACGTTCACTCAGTGTTTCGTTTCCGGCAGATCTTCGCACGTTTCCCTTTTCGCCAGCCATTGTTCCAAAGAAACTTTTGCCCAAACTGAAGCTTCTGTGGCCAGACTGCCGATAAGTGTCTCATCTCAAAACAC